GCATGCTCTTAGTAGTTCTGGAGGTTTATCTAAGAAGATTTTGGCTGGCAATCTATAATAAAAAACTGGGAGATTTTTGCTTTTGCCACTAAGAAATTCAAAACAGGACCTTGTTGTGCAGTGTTGGGAGTTTTTACTAGAATTATGGAAAACCCCCCAACAGTTGTAAAATTTCCTCTTTTGTTGTTTTATGGTAAAAAAATAACATTCGTATTTCAAGTGCAAAAAAGGAATGTTCGAGGCCGTTTCTAGTTGGAATATTTGAGTTCGATTAGAGTTCCGGATAGTACCTCAAGATTCGGATAATTTTCGACTAAGATTATGGCTAAAAACTAGTAATTGACTGTGGAAAAACTCCTAACAGGGGCACTAGAACTAGTTATGATGAAGTTTTGCATTTTACCCTTAAATATAAACACGGTTCTCAGCATTTCCATAGGAAATATAGTTGAAACATTTTTTGGTGGAATTTTGGAGTTCTGGCGACTGGTCTTTTGCCATTGATGCAATGACGCATCAGGAACTTGAAAACTGTTGATGAGCTCTTCGGTACTCTAAAACACTTTTGACACAATCTAGGAGTTGGGCTTCCATATTTTCAGAATTAACTAATTTCCGGCACAATTCCTTCTAAGATTTGTCGCGAACTCCAGAACTTTATGGGGGCCCTCCAGAAGTGTCATTAACAATTGCAAACTTGTAAAAATGAGGGACGAATGTGACACGCGCCAACATTAAACAGAAATATGAATCCGAAAAGGTGCATTTCCATATTTTTATGCTCCACTTCCTCAAGTATAAATAAACATTGTTTTTGAAACGAACCGGAAGTGGAAATACCTGCATAAATTCTTGACGCTGCTACCTTCGCCAATTAATAGTTGCGGTTGTCCAATTCAATGACAAGTGACAAGAACATAATTTAGTAGGTCAATGATCCTCACCTGACGATCGATAAGTAGCTACACACACTTGTTCCATACCTACTCATACAATTTTCATTTACTCGCAAAGACGCGAGCTGCAGCTTTAAAATAATGGCATAGAAACACGAACATACTTTTGGACTGGTTTTATAAATTATAAATAGAAAAAAAACGTAGGTTTTTGCTTAATTATCATACCCATACCTCACAAACTAATATGCTTGTTGACCTAATTGCAAAGAATAACAGGGATGGGGAAGTGGTTGTCTACTCTGTCATACTTTGAGGACCCTTTTCTAAAAAGTATAGTCGTTTGTCGATATAGGCGATGCGACGACTTCCTGTGTTCATTTTTGTATTTCCTGCAGTACGTGAATGGAATTAACTATACGTATAGGAAGAATACCAAACGACCACGTTGTTACATCTTTGGCAATAAAAAGAGAAAATTATTTTTAGTCGGCTAATGGTTATTCAACAACGAGGGTTTCTGAACTCTGCCGTCTATTAGATTATTAAAGCACTATTAGGCACATGAGGTTAGGCAGCTCATTTCATCAATGTCCAGGATTTCCATGGGAATTAAGTTCCTAGGGTTTCTCTCTTTCCGACCTTGACTCCATCGGATTCTTCAGCTCTCAAGATTCCTCGGTCTCTTCGATTCTAGCATTGGTCTATGATTCTAGCAACTTCATCGGCTGCCTAGACCCTATCGAATCCTTAGCCATCTTCTGCTTCAAAACCCTTGATTTATCAAATTTCCTTTGCTCCTTCCCTTTCCTTGATTTCCAGTTCTTCCTTGGCGTCTTCGACTTCTAGAGATTACTCGGCATATTTTTCTTTATTCGACTTGTACCTTTTGCCTTGACATTAGTGTTATTTATAGCTTTCTGTCCGACCGCTCGTGTATCTGACAAACTTTTTTATTGGACTGATCGTTTCTAAATTTGATATGCAGGTTCTCGGCAGGTTCTTTATAAATCAAGAAATTGATTATCCGCTCTTAGACTTTGCGGAATAAATTTCATTTATTTTATTTATTACAATTTTTAACGGATACTTCGTGAGTTAGAAGCGGAAATACTTCCTCGCATATTATATTCTCCTGATACAAAGGTTTAAAGGAAAATCTAATCTCTTGGTAACCATACAACTCTTGAGAACAAAGCAATCCTTCTCATGGTTTATGTTCTCTTGCTAGCCAGAGCAAATTAACATTTTTCTCACAGATACTCCGCGAGTTAAGAGCACCTCGCACATTATATTGTCCGGCTGCAAAAGTCTAATCGAAAGTAAAGTGTTGGAACGTTTCTCTTCAGGTTAGAAATCACCTGCTCACACATTATACTCGACTGGTAACCAGAAAACATCTACAGCCATTGTGTAACTATGTATTAGGAGCAGAAACACCTCCTCGCACATTATTATTATTATTATATTGATACAACAGTTTAAACAAAAAGAAAGTGTTCGAACATTTCTGTTGAGCATAGAAAAGGGCCCTCTCAGGGGTTATGCTACCTTAGTAGACTCCATGAATTAGGAGTAGAAACGTAAAAAAACGGTTGGAACATTTCTCTTGAGCACAAAAGAAGACCTCGTATGGGTTATTTCTGTTGAGCTTATGAATTATGTTCGCCTGGTAGACAGAGAAAGATTACAACAATTTTCGGATACAAAGGTTTAAAGAAAAATAAAGTGTATGAACGCTTTTTTCACGTATAAAAAGGACCTCCTCATGGATTCTGGTCTCTTGGTACCCATAATAAATTTACAATATTTCTCTAACTCTTCTTCTTGAGTTAGGGGTAGAAACGTTTAAACGTAAACAAACTGTTGGGGCATTTCTCTTATGCACAGAAGAAGACCTCGGCATGGATTATGTTCTCCCAGAGAAAATTCAAAACAATTTTCTAGCGGATACCCCATGAATTAGAACCGGAAATACTTCCTCGCACATTATATTCTCCAGATACAAAAGTTTAAACGTAAACAATGTGCTGGAAGGTTTCCCCTGAGCACATAAATTATGTTCGCCTGGTACCCAGGGAAATTTTCTCACTGATACTCAACGAATTAGTCCTCGCACATTATATTCTCCTGACGCAAAAGTTTAATCGAAAATGAAGTGTTGGGTTATTTCTGTTTGAGCTCTGAGGTTTTGAGCTTATGGATTATGTTCGCCTGGTAGACAGAGAAAGATTACAACAATTTTCGGATACAAAGGTTTAAAGAAAAATAAAGTGTAGGAACGCTTTTTTCACGTATAAAAAAGACCTCCTCATGGATTCTGGTCTCTTGGTACCCATAATAAATTTACAATATTTCTCTAACTCTTCTTCTTGAGTTAGGGGTAGAAACGTTTAAACGTAAACAAACTGTTGGGGCATTTCTCTTATGCACAGAAGAAGACCTCGGCATGGATTATGTTCTCCCAGAGAAAATTCAAAACAATTTTCTAGCGGATACCCCATGAATTAGAACCGGAAATACTTCCTCGCACATTATATTCTCCAGATACAAAAGTTTAAACGTAAACAATGTGCTGGAAGGTTTCCCCTGAGCACATAAATTATGTTCGCCTGGTACCCAGGGAAATTTTCTCACTGATACTCAACGAATTAGTCCTCGCACATTATATTCTCCTGACGCAAAAGTTTAATCGAAAATAAAGGGTTGGAATATTTATATTGAGTTTAGGAAAATACCTTATGGATTATGTTCCCCTGATAGACAGACATTTCTGGATACTCCGTGAAATAGAAGCGAAAATACTTCCTGGCACATTACAATCTCAGCTAAATCCAGATCCCAACGTTTAAATCTTCATGCGGTACGATATAACAAAGAAAACCCTTGGGAAGAATCCTCCCGAAACAAGAACAACTACAAATAAACCTCAGGTGTAACTTCGAAACCATAAGACACAAATTCGCAAAAATTCTTACCTTCAGGAAGAAGTGGATGGGTAAAATTAAACCAGCTAAACACGACTTTGTTGCAATTTTCGAAAGTAACCAAGAAAAATTACCGTGTGGCCTCAAAATCCCCCATATTGATGTAGAAAAAGGTCAACCTCCCGTCAAACGGCATCAAAACATTCCCAAACTGCTTTCTGCAAGCCAAACCAAACGAACATTCCCATTTTTAACAAATTTCCAAATCTCGATTCGTGCAAATTCTCCCGAAGGCAAAGCAAACCTCGCCCATTATATTTTCCTGATGTTTTATAAGAAAAGAAACACCTATTCCGTGAATTAGGAGCCGAAACGTTTAGTCGCGCATTATTATCTCCTGATGCAAAAGTTCATTGAGCACAGAAGTAGATAGTGGATCACCCAGAGAAAATTTACAACAATTTTTTAACTGATGCTCCATGATTAGGAGCAAAAACGTCTCTATGAACATTTCTCTTGCGGATACAAAAAGACTTCCTCATGAATTATGTTCTCCTGGTAGACAGTGCATGAATTATGAGTCTAAATACCTCTCCGCACATTATGTTCTCCAGATACAAAAGTTTCAACGGAAACAACGTGTTGCTACATTTCTCTGGAGGTTTCAAAGAGACCTCCCCATGGATTACGTGTAATTTGCACCATTTTTTGACAACACAATTATATTCTCCTGATTAATCTACTTTGGTTTCTTCGTCTTTGATTTCTTAAGCATCTTGGGTTCTTCTGCTTTTGTTCTGCTTCGAGTTTTGTGGATTTTTGACTGTTTAACTTTCTTTCCACACCACTTTTGGCTTCTTCGAATTCTTCGGACTCTTGTGTCTTCTTTGAGCCCTTCATCGTCTTCTTCGATTGGGTGCATTTTTTTGTTTTTTGGTCCCCTTTAATTTAAAGACTTTTTTCCATTCCGATCAAATGTATAAAAATTAAACTGGATTCTGGGGGTAGTTACTTTTGGAATTTTCTCGTTTCTTATCCCAAATGAAAAACCGGAGAGAATGCCGAGGACAGTCTAAAGACTACCAGGAAATACTAGAGAATACCACAGAATACGTGAAAGAAATTGACATGTAATAAAAGAAGCGATTAAAAAATTAATAATGTCTTTTTGTTTCAGAGACTGGTCGGTCCAGAAAGCTCGCGCAAAATGCGATCTCATACCTTGTGCATATCCACATTATTAACATTACTAGTGTTTGTGTCGGCTGAAGATGATACCGTCGGACCGGTATTCGTTCGCGAACCCCCAAACCGAATCGATTTCTCCAATACAACGGGCGCGGTGGTGGAGTGCAGTGCACGTGGTCATCCCCCTCCGGAAATAATATGGGTTCGTTCCGATGGCACGGCGGTTGGAGATGTCCCAGGATTACGGCAAGTTTTGGCCAACGGCAACCTGGTCTTCCCGCCCTTCCGCGCCGAAGACTACCGCCAAGAAGTACACGCTCAGATCTACGCCTGCCTCGCGAAGAATTCCGTTGGATCGATCCACTCGAAGGACGTCAACGTGCGTGCAGGTTAGTGCTCTTGCCATTTCGATTCTTTCACATTTTCAGAAAAAATGCCTAACGAAAGCTTTCAGTGGTAGCGCAATATTACGACATCGACGTGAACAAGGAGTACGTGATTAGGGGCAACGCAGCAATTTTAAAGTGCCAGATACCTTCTTTTGTAGCCGACTTTGTATCGGTCGTCTCTTGGCATACCGATCAGAACGAGAATTTCGCGCCGGGCGCTCCGGATGGTAACTAATTTTGGTCGTTCTTGCAGTTGTCCAACAGTTTTACCAGACGGAGGTGAACAACGAGTACGTCATCCGTGGAAATGCTGCTGTTTTAAAATGCGCTATACCTTCGTTTGTTGCCGATTTTGTAATCGCGACATCTTGGGCTGACAGCGAAGGGAATACCTATAATATGGACGAAAAGAATTATGGTAAATTTGCCTTTCCACGGATGAACCTTTTTTCTCCTCATCAATCCTCACGGGCGATTTGTGTCGGTGGGAGTTCCAGGTGTTTACTCACTTTCTTGTTGCAGTTGTTAATCAGTACTACGAAGCTGAGGTGGTATCCGAGTATGTAATACGCGGGAATACCGCCGTTCTTAAATGTAACATACCGTCGTTCGTTGCCGATTTTGTAAGGGTAGAGGCCTGGGTCGGTAGTGATAGCAAAGAGTACACCTATACCACTGACTATGGTAAATGCTTGGTTGTGGTATGGTTATCAATCACCTTGTCAAGCACCTTTCCAAGCCACCACCCTGGATGTACTTTACTTGCGCCGTTACTAACACCCGTCCCCTTTTGCAGTGGTAAATCAGTTCTATAAAGCGGAAATCCTGACCGAGTACGTTATCCGAGGGAATACCGCGATTCTGAAATGTAGCATACCGTCTTTTGTTGCCGATTTTGTTCACGTCGAATCTTGGATCGACGATTCCGGAAAGATACTCACAGTATCGAACGATTACGGTAATTTGTCTTATTAACTGTTTTTACTCTTTTTCGGCAGTGGTGTCGCAATTCTATGTAACCGAGGCCGAAAATGAGTACGTGATTAGAGGAAATTCCGCAATTATGAAATGCAAGATTCCTAGTTTTGTTGCCGACTTTGTTCAAATTGATGCCTGGATTGATTCTGATGGCAACTCGCTTAAGTATGGGGACGGAAATTATGGTATTACTTGCATCTCTTAAATTTTGAATTGCCATACCTGCTTAGGGATTTACTAGAATCCCTTGACCCCGACTGACATTCGTTTCATATGCACAAACTTACCACCTCGTGGTTATCTGCGCGATCGGAGTGTTACGGTCAACAGTCTAACACCAACTGTATTAATTAACTCGTTTTTAAATTAAATGTTGCTCTGAAGATCTTGTGTTGTACTAATACTTCTATGTCATACAGACTAAGCAAACGCCACAATTTTCATTATTCTTTTAATTAAACGTGGAAAACTGGACACAAAACCAGCATAACTTAAACGTTAGATCAGAATCCTTCGCTCTTTTCATTTAGTTGTAACAGTTCATAATTTGCCTTTAAGGTCAATCCGTTTTAAACATTCAGTATCTTCGCATATTCGAATAAATCGTGAGAGTGCAATCGGAAACCTTTGTTCCTATCAATAACCCAAAATCAAAAGTTTGATATCTCCGTTAATGTTTATAGGCGAGACGTAATATTACACGAACAAAACGAACACGCAATCTGTATTAATTAAATAAAAACAGAAAATCTTCTTTTGTTTCCGATGGATTACACTCGTTTTTAATTGTAAGATTTCCGGAACTCGCGAGTAATGGACGTTTCAAAACGACAGCGACACCCGAAAAAATTACGAACGTCCGCTGTGGTAAGATCGTAACGACATTTTTTGCGGCAACTTAACGTGAGTCCCTTGGAACTTTTAAGCCGAATGCTCTCAAAAACTTCCCATACTGGCCCCGTTCTGTTCTACCTTAATTAATGACTACCCACAAAATGGCGAATTGTTAACGAAAACGGACATATTTAATCCTTAATTTGTTACTTAACTACACGAACACTTCATGTTTCAAGTAAATTATTTGTTCACATTGTGTTACTGTGTTTTATACATTTTTTGTTACAATATTATCAAAATTATTTAATACTCATCTGACGCGACCAAACAATTGTAATTATTGAATGAGTCAACGAAATATATTATTATTATAAATCTCGCTTTACGAATCAAATGAAACTTAGGGTGATAAATCATTCCTATGCATTTGTAACTAAATAGCCCTAATAAATCTGAATACGATCCCCATTCCAGACATCGAAACAATACTCCATTCAATTGAAACTACGCAAAAAGGACGATCTTCAAGTATAGTACCAAACAGAAACACTCACGGACTTTTTGAATTCTACGAAATATAATTTTTTCTCCAATATTTTTACGCCTTGTAGATTTAAGTGATATGGAATCTCTAACTTCACAACGAAATTTCGAAAAAAAAATGTAATGCAAATTTAGAGCTACCGTTACATATGTTCTCTTCATACGCATATCTCTTTGTGATGTATCAGGATCACAGATACGCAAGAAGGTATAGAACCGTGGAGGATATTTAATTACTCAATGATGATTGGCAAACCCATGTCCACTCGATCTTAATATACATCTGGAAAATTCTGAAAAGACTAGAAATCGATTATAAGGTTCTAAAATTGGCCAAGGAATCCTTTAAAAGAATTCATGAAGCCCATAAATGTCAGTTCTTGAAGCTCTATTTGGTTCTGGAATGATCTGTAAAATCCTTAACAAAATATATGGGAAATTTTACAAGAAAAACAAAAAGTGAAAGTGAAAAGCGCTTAGAAAGATTATTGTGTAATTCCGGATATAAAATCGAAAAGTTTAGTATGAAAACGCTATCTTCTGGGTAGTAATTTGGGCTTGATTTAACACATAACTAACCACTTACATATGAAACAAATTTATTCGACATCAATCAATCGAATAAGCTGAAAGAAATATAGGCATTCAGGATGCAACAAATACCACGCAACAAGCGATCGATAATAACAATTCATTAAAGCAATCTGAATTAGCTTCAAGTGTTAATAATCTTTGTATCGGGTCAATTACGATTGTCTTTACACAGACGCACAAAACAAACCATAATACTTTTGAAATGGGGAAATTCCCTTTAACGGGTACCGGGAAGCAACTACTTCTTCACTTCTTTAATTCGGCTTAAACATTCACGGATTTATGGCTCAGTGGTAGAGCATTGGGTTATAAATCCGAAGGTCGGGTGTTCGAACCTTGGTTGAGGTGAATTTTTCATCTGTGGCGGAGATGGAAATTACCTTACACCAGTTCCGAGCATTCTACCGGCTACTCCGAATTAGGTTTTCCTGCAGTTTTCCTAATTCGTAAGGTAAATACCGGAGTAGTGTAGACCATCTTAAGACCTTCTGCAGAGGCACCTCTAAATAGCATTATGCGGGTCACTCTGTAATTGGGCGCATGCCTGTTGAGGGCCCAAAACAAGAGAGGGATAAAATTAAATTAAATTAAATTAAATCACGACGACTTAAATCGGCGAAACAACCTGTTTTGCAACAAATACGGTTGTGTTTTAACGCCCACCAAACCCAGTGGTAGGCCAGGTAGGGTAAGTCGAATGCTACGAACGGTCACGGTCACGAAAATATTGAAACGCTCGGAGGGGAATGAGAGCACAGGTTCTCCATACTTAAAACGCTGGGAGGGGAATTCTCAGACAATGCGCCGTCTTGTGAGCAAATGCAAAAGTGGAATACTGACCTACATCTATATGAGATTCGTTTATATTTCAGACTAGGGAAGTTTCTCTTCTGACGTATGTAGTTCCTACGCAGTTTTTTTTTAAACTTTGTGAACCATCTCCTCCTTATAAAAATAATGCCTCGTCTAGGAATACTCGGCATATGTGTTTAAAACTTCCGCGATAACACATCCTTATCTTGAAACTAATTAGCTTTTATGCATTAAAAAACGATCGGAGATAAGACTTTTACAAATACTACGCAAATATTTACAGATTTTCCTTATCTTCTAAAGACAATAAAAAAACAAAAAGAGATTATTTAAACAAAATTAACATCATTCAGTAAACAATTCGGATACAAAACCTTCACTTCGAAGTCTAAATTTTGCCTCTTCGTATCAAAATTCGAAGCTGCGCAAACAAAACCAGATATACCTTGAGGGCTAAGTTAGTAAATTAGGGGTTCAGGTGAATTACATTTTATGATTGTTGTTCAGAGTTAAAGATTAAGTGGTCGTATTTGCTTCTTGTACAAATTTTTTCTTTTCGCATGAAAAATGATTGTTGATGTGACAAAATAATTTCAGAAAGAATGCGTGTGGGTACAAATTAGTCTTAAACGTATAGGTAACAATTTTCAGATTAAATTTGAAATTTACATTGTTATATAATTATTCAATTGCTTAATCAGTCACGAAACGAACTCGGGTACAAATTAGGCCGCACTTCAAATTATTGAGTTCGAAGGCTAGGACCTCCCATCTCGGTGCATGTATTATAATTTTGTGGATCCAAATTAGTCTTTAATTAGTCCTAAATTAGAGGCACATCAATTTCCAATTCAGGACAATGCCATTTTATTGAGGAGCAAGAAACGAAACGTAAGGAATGGAGTTAGGGATCAGGATGTTGAGGGAACTCTGATATCATCACGCATCAATGCTATACATACATGCCCAAAAGTCTTTTAATGTTGCAACAGGAAATTGTGCATTTAGCATCCCAAAAAACATACAAAATGCGAGAAATCAAAGCTACCCGGCCCGACCACTGGACAAATTATCTGATGTGCGAAAAATTAAGAGAGCAAAGTTGAAATGCGTCTAATTAAATTATTGTTCTTGTCATCAATTAAAGATGACGCTGACCGTAAATAAAACATTACTAATTTTTCAAAGGAAGTTAGAAACTTAGTCACCTTGGTTGTGGTCTGACAAAAACCGTAAACATAATTGTCATAGATGATGCAAGAAAGTTTTCCAATTTTGTACTCGATCTTAAAGCCCACTCTTTGAAAATACTTGCGGCTATATCGATTTATTATCCGCCTTCGTTTTTTTTTGTTCGCCTCTGCAGAAAAAGAGCTCAATTAAAATAAATTATGCAACATTATTCAGAATTAGTAGCTAATGATTCTACTCAGAACAAATCTCTTACGCTCTCGCATTATATTTATGGATGACCACTCGTTTTGAGATTGCATTACTTAAACAAAACGCGTCCTTGACCTAGTGTTATCTTGGTTACTACGTCTAGAGTGGTCTCATTAATGTTTTTTACTGTTATGGGTCAACACTAGGAATCTCATAAACACATCACTTGGCAAAAATTTACCTCTACTAAAATTACATGCCCACCAAACGCTCTAGACAATTTTTTTTCAAGACAGGTGACAGGAAGAGAAGTTTCAACATCTACAACTACTTAAAGGTTCAATTGAATCTGATTACCACTCTTTTTTTGATAACTTGCCTTATCGTTAATAATAACCTATAGATTAGTAATAACTTTTCTTTTGCAATCGTAAAGTTTCTTAATAAATTACGAATTTATATAAATAATTACTTTTATTTTCATCAAAACCTTAGGGGGTTGCAATATACGTAAGTCCCGATTTTTAGGAGCATTTTTATAAGAAAAACACGTAACTCCTCTTATTACTTAAATTAATATGAAAATCATTATATTTCTTACATGATTTCAACCCTTGTTAATTTTAGATTTTTTTTGTATCATTTGTTTTATACAACGTTTTGGTTATGAAGTCGTAAATAGTTTTTCACGCCTCCTGTAAAATTTACCAAAATGGAGTTACATGGTTTTCGTATTAGGGCGACGATATCGCATATTGTAAAAATGAAATGTGCGCATGCGCAAACAACGCAATGTTACTTTGGCTAGAGTTGTCAAAAGAATTGTCATGTTTATATAGCAATTTTTTGCACTCATTTTAAGAGCGAGGTAAGAACTTTTACAAAGAGGATTCCTTCCCGAGAATTGTGCTCCCTTCGTTAATTTCGTTCTCCGAACATTCATGGCATCCCCTAAATTTCGCCGACCCGAATTAATACATAACGAAGGTTTTTAATTGCCTTTTCCTTTTTTTGGTAAGTCTCCATGATGGACTTTGAAGATTCTTTGGACAGGAATATCTTATCACTGCTTCCCTTCGTCTTTAGGTAAAGTTAAAATATGAAGCATTCCTAGGGCAAAGTTTAGTAAATAAGATCACTCTTGAGAATGTCTCCCGCTGGATTTCTAGGTAGAGAAACGATGTAGCGCTGTATGGTGTGCGGTGTGAGGGTGGGTCTTTCCTCGTAAAATTTTTGAAGTGACTACTTCTTAAGGGTTTTGGGCGGGCGTCAAATTTGTGGTCGTCACGTGTAACGCTCGGCTTGTTCGCCTGGCTCAAAAATATTTAAAGCGCATTTGTCCATTTCAAAGGATATATGGCTTTGAACTCGACGCTTTTCGTGTATGAAGACGCGAGTTCGATTTCCCGAGCGCGTTTTTTTTTTATAGATGGCGGAAAAATGAAGGACGCGAAGGATTATGAGAGAGAAAGAAGTAGTCAGTTCTGTCGGCACTTACCAAGTGCTACTTTCGAATTTTTTAAGAGGTATACCTAAAACAACACACAAAATGGCCAATCCGCAACTACCACTTTGAAGGAAAGTTTGGTTTTCTTCACTTGCCCCCCCCCCCCCCCCCCCCCCCCCGTTACGGACTCATACGACGAGTAGAATAGTAGGTAAACTGGTCCGTTAAACTAGAACAATTTAAAAATAGGACGTGGACCCAACATTAAAACTAGACTTCACTTGAACCCTAAAGAAAATCAAAGGTAACCTCTTGATACCTTAAAATGAACATTGCCTCTTTAAATAAAGGGCATTATAGATTGAATGTTCAACAATCGTTCGATGGAAAATAACATGTGACAGTTATATTCAGCCGGCTTCAAGTTAGATGTAATAAAATGGGGGTTACTTACGAAGCCCGGAAAAAAACGCAATTATAAATCCTCACCATATCGGAGTCCAGCACAAGCAAATTCGTCCAAACAATATTTAGCGCATTTTGTTTCTCTTTCCGTCCGAACTACTCCTACAGTTTTCAATATATTTAATTCGTTCTTTTTTAATTTGGTAGCTTCGGCTGTGCGGCTCAGGCACTTAAGCCAAAAGATTTTCACAATTAATATGCGCATGCGTAGACTGCGTAATGTCAACTTTCTTATTTAGTGAGATATTTTTTTCGATATTTTTACCACAAAGCCTGTAGTAAAGGCAAAAATATCGCATTACAAAAATCAGATGTGCGCACGGCAACTTCCTTATTTATAGAGACATTTTTCTCCGTAAAGAAGCTAACTGCCATTATAAGTTTTTGAGTTATTTAAAAAAATGACATTTTTGAGAAATTTCAAAAAACGGTTTGCACTTTTAGAATATGCTCTAGTACAAAATAAATTGTAAATGGGTAACGATGAATTTCAAGTGGGGTGTTTATGAAGGGGTTGTTTTCGTTGTTTTTTTACGCGACACAAAAGTTGAAAGCCACCTCAGTTTTGTTATAACGCACCTTATTTTGTACGCAATGGACTTTTACCTATGCTCATTTTAAATATTCTTTAAAAATCTTGTTGCATGTTTCGATTTCTGCATTTCTTGAAAAAAGCTTATATATTTAAAGAGTCCATAAATTGGTTAGTATTGGATTTGCGGTGAAAATAACAAAAACATTCTTTGTTTTTTTACAAGATACTTTTGTTTTGATTTTTTGAATTATTCACTTTTAAAAAATACGTTTTTTCGACGGAAAATTGACAGTTTCAGTCAGAAATCACTCACTTTCACCCTGTTGATAAGATCTCCGAGCCATTCCAATTCATTCATCTAATGATGACTTCTTCAAATAATTTTGGTCTTTCTTGAGGACACATTGACATTCTAGTTTTCTCTCACGAATTAACTGTCCATAGTCGGATTGTTAATATTTTGATAAATTTCTTCAATTCCTTTGTTGCCGAGGTTCGCAGATCAGTTTCATAGTTTTAAAAGAAAACCAAACTTATTTTCAACATGTGAATAATACCTACATGGAACTGCTCTCGAGCCCCAGGCATCAAGCTTCTGTTTGAGTTCTGCTACCCCTTCACCCCTCCGATCCTGAAGATGGTAGTTTAGAAACGTGAAACTTTTCCAACGAGAGTGTTCGAAAACTTATCAGACTTTAAAGAATATACTTTGATTACATATTCGCGTTTTGCATTTCCAGTGGTCGCACAAACCTACGAAGTCGAAGCGGACAATGAATACGTTATACGTGGAAATTCGGCCGTAATGAAATGCGAGGTGCCCTCTTTTGTATCTGATTTTGTTGTCGTCGAGAACTGGCAAGACTCTCGGGGCAACACTTACTTACCAGGATCGGATTATGGTAAACCGAATTCAGCAGTTTAGCTCCCCCAAAAACGTTCTCCCGCCCTCCTGCATATCTACCAGATTGTACACGAATTCGTTTTTAATGTTAATTTTCTTTGCAGTGGTTAATCAATATTTCGAAGCTCAAGTGTACGATGTCTTCGTTATAAAGGGAAATACCGCAATATTCAAATGTCAAATACCATCCTTTGTTTCCGATCACGTCGATATAATTTCATGGCAAGACAGTGACAAAAATAAGTATCTTCCACCCGATGATAGTCAATACGGTAAATGATAACTCGTAAAATCCTGTCACTTCCTGCCACTGCCCATCCCTCTTACTTGGGGATCGCGATGTACTTAATTTAGTTATTAACAATAAACTTACATTTGATCATTGTTTACAGTGGTTTCGCAACCCTACACCGCTAACGTAATGGACGAAAGTGTACTTAAGGGGAATACTGCAATATTCAAGTGTCATATCCCTAGCTTTGTAAGCGACTATGTATACGTTACTTCTTGGTTACAAGACGATTCTATTGATATCATACCTCAGGATAAACAGTACGGTGTGTGTTCATTATTAAAAATAAAAACGGGAAGTTTGTGCATCTGGAACTCCTGTTCTTCCCGTTCTACCTTCCTTATCTAACCCCTCCCAGCTTGGAACTATCTCGACATGCAAACCGAATAGATTTTCCATTGCGAAACTCAAATAAATAAATCTTTCGCTTTGTCACGTTACGAGATTGCCGCATGCTTAACCTTTCGGATGGTAATAACAATAAATCTTTGTCAAAATTTGCATGATAAAGTTTTACCTGACATGCGGGACTTTGAACTAATTAAATATTTTTCGCGCAGACAGCAAATATTTGGTCCTTCCATCCGGCGAATTGCACATACGCGACGTGGGACCCGAAGATGGATACAAGACATATCAATGCCGCACCAAGCATCGACTAACCGGCGAGACCAGACTTAGCGCAACCAAAGGACGATTGGTCATCACCGGTATGTTTTAGTGTTTCAAATTTTCTATTGCGAACTGTAAATAATAATGGCGGAAGTTTTTTATCAAATTTTGTGTGGAGCTATCAGTTTTTTTATGTCCGCCATTATTTTTTCTTTGACTGATATGGTGGTATTAATTTCATTGTATCTTCCGTAGTGTAAGGTTTATGTCTATTGAAATCTCAAAAGAATGAAAAATTCGAAGAAACCTAAGAATTTGACGAATGTGAACAGCCTAAACTGAGGAATCGAAGTCTCTTTGATTCAAAACCTGACAGCGTCGTGCTTCCGATTCCTATGGCTCTTCCAATTCTTTAGTTAAATAGAATTTTTCGAAATTTTTATATAATATTTCCGATTGTTCAAATTCTTTGAATTCTTGCGTTTTTTAGAATCGCCCAATTCTTCCGATTCATGAGATTCTTCGGATTCTTCATTTGGTCGGTTTCTTCGAATTCATGGCCTATTAAATCAAAATTTCCTTCAATTCTTTCTATTTTCCAAATTAAATTCTTATAACTATAAGTCTGAACAATTTGAAGAGATCTAAGAAGCGGGCGAATTGGAAAATCTCACAATCTGAAGGATCAGAAAAAATCCAAGAAACTCTGATTAATGTAGAATACTCAAAAATTTAAAAAAAACTAAGCATTCGAAGAATATGAAAAACTTAAAAGATATTAAAGAATTGAGAGATTAAAGCACCCTAAGAAATTGAGGAATCCAAAAAGTGGGCGATCCAAAAATTTTAGGCCGGAGACAACTCTGGTGCATCTGAAGATAGGTACTATTGAACGATCTCTACGTAATGAGAATGTGAAAGATTCAGACAAACCCAAGAATTTTGTAACTATGAAAAACTTAAAGAAATTGCAGGATTGAGGGAATCTGTAGCATCCGAAGTAATAGAAGAATCTGAAAAATCGTAAGCTGCAGAGCTCGATAAAATGGACCAATCTGAAGGATCGGAAAAATCCAATGAAACTAATATAAAAAAATCTGTAGCCAAGGATTCAAAGAAACCCCAGAGTTTTAAGAGGAATTGAGAGAAAGTCTGAAGAAATTGAGGAATCCAACAAATCTTGAGCTGCAGAGCCCGAAGATCGCAAAATTAAAAAAAATTCAAAGGACAAAAGCTCTTCGTGACTCCTGTGAAACTATCAAAAGCCATGAATATTACCGCACATTAATTTACACAGCTACCTTTTTAGACCTATGCTTAGCTATGACCAAAAAGGTCCTTGGATCGAGTCTGTGTGCGAGCATGAAAATTTTGTGTAGAGTCGGGTTGGTAAAGTAAGAAACATTTGCCATAATCCCCCAATTATATTTGGAATAGGAAATTCTTGTTATTGACGATAAATGAGGGTAATAAAAACAAAATTATTAATAATCGATATTAATAAAGTTGTAGTTTATTAAATTGATAACATTCACATCTGTAGAGGCAATAAAAAAGCAACTGAAATGAGTTCATAAACCTACACTACTGCAGCCGTATATAGACATGTAACTTTACATAATTGCAGCCATAGTTAACTAAAAGTGACAGGAAGTGCTCATTATCATAATCTTTATTTGTCAATTCTTATACTTCATAGTTAAGTCAAATTTAATGTACTATGCTGCCCCATTAAGTAGCACCACCATATCAGATCAATAATAGAGAAATACAATCGTTCAAAACTTGTATGTCTCATGCAATATTTGTATTTACACTAAATAAAAGCTTCTTTATTAAAGTCATTAACACACTTCCTAATCTTTGACATTTTAATAACACCATCTGTCCAAGTTGGGGTCATGACTCATACGTGTATGCGTGCATTACATTAAATTAATGCATCAAATGAAAGTAAGGGAGCTTTTTAGTTTAAACAGTAACATTTTACATTCTAGCGATGTGAAGTGTTACTGTTGTGCGTGTGTACCTGCTTTAAACATGGAAAAACTCATACAAAGCAGGTGTACTCGCCACCTTTTTTTGTGGAACTCGTTTCCAAGCCCAGACTGCCTGAATGTTGGGATAGGGTACCCTTGTTTCTCGAACGGGCACTTTCAAAATTTTGTTGTCAATTAAAAAAAACGTGTATAATGGGCACGTTGTATCCGAATTAATTTGTAGATTACCTCTCCTGTTGTCCTGTTCCTTTCTTTGGTAGAGCACTAAGCAGAACGAGGTGCATTTTTTGAGGCCAACTAGTGTCAAATGATTTGGGGTGTGCTCCTAGAATTGCTATGGTACGCCACTTAAAAAATGATGTCCTTTATACAAAATTTAGTCCGCATCTCCGGACTGGTTTCAGTTCAAATGAAGCGAATAAATTACAGATTTTTGCCCAGGGTTAAGTAAACGGGCCCTGAAGCGTGGCACACCTGATAAGATTAATAAATGCGTACTTAATAGGCGTTATAGTGCCCCATTAATTTTTGTGGAAACTTGGCGGAAATTTCTACATTTTTATTTTTAATGGTCCAAATCCAAATCTTTTAAGATCTTTGAATGTAATCAAAATCTTACTTTTATGCATTTTATTGGAAATCTTTCTTCTCTAGAGATAGCTAATGTTTCCAGCAACTTTACTAGAGCTTTTCTTGAAAACCTTTTTTGGAATTTTCTTAAAAATAAACTTTAAAAAAACCCTCGTAGGAGTTTTCTTCGAAATATTTATACAATCCTCAATCAATACCTTTTTTTGAAAAACACTTATTAACCTTTCTGAAGAAAGTCTCGAAAACTGTTTAGGAGTTTTCGTACCAATCTTCCTCTTACTAAGTAACCCTGTTAGAAGCCGTCTTAGCAATCTTAACTTTACTTCCCTCTGTTTTTACTCTATTTAAAAGCTTCCCGCAATCTAGAGTCCCTAGTGCCACCAAGGCACTGTATTTGAGGTTCTCCTTTCTTTTGTGGGGCAGTTTGCTTCATATTATTATTTGTTGACAATATAGTCTAGGAGAGACTTACCTCTTCCGTTGATGTCGGTGCTGCCTCATACGCATTGGCATCACATCCGAGAAGGAGTTACCATCCTTTCCGCTGACAGTGTTCCACCAGTGTGCTAACTTGTGTGGTTGGTGGTGTATAAGGGCGGTATGCGGATCCGAGTACAACCCCTTTCTCGCTCCCATTCTTTTCCACTGTCAGAATTAGGTACTGCCTCTGCAACAAAATTCCCATAGTGGTATAGTAACTTAACACTATATTCCTGGTTAAGATAGGTACAGAATCTGGGATTGATTTCGGTAGGCTCAGTAAGGAACCGCGCTCCTAGACCCAGTATTAGCCTTTTGCAGGTCCAAGGTTCTTGTAAAAGGGCTGCATGAATATAATAGAAGGTGGCAGATGCCGCCCTACTGTGTTGCAGATTAATTTGTGCTACTTTTACCATTAATAAAATAGTGAAACCGGGCTTACCTAGTAGGTGTTGGTTGTGGTTCCCCTGAGGGCTCCGCAACTGATGTTACCTCTTCGCACTCCATGCTTGTCACCTCTACCTTCGTCTTGGAGAGAAGTTTGAACGTCAATCTGGTCAAGTTCACGTAGGGTCGATGGTTGCAAGTAGTCCCCATCTTGTCCTTCACCATGTCTACCACACGCCAATTGCTGGTTGTAACTCCAACAATTCGATCCTTTTCAGGATCTTCTCCGGTTCTACTTGAGCCCCGGGGCTCCAGGCGTTTGCCGTTACTGGTTTTGGGATGTTCTTCGCTTCGACGAATCGACGTTTCGCGCCCTCCCACGGAACGGAACTTTTCTCGCTAGATCCGACCTCAACCAATCCACAGATACCTGGAGCTCCTAGGTTTCCCCACTGCGGTAGATGGAAGGTCAGGTTGCGTAGAACACACTGGTTCCTCTCTCATGTTCGGTCCGGGCGGTAAAACCTAGACCCCTCGCACAATCCCGAGCTACCCAGATTCGTCCATGGTATATCGACATGGTTGACGTACATCGAACACATGTCGGCACCGTTTAACCCCGTGCAAGCCCTTGGCCACGATACGACAACCGGGCGAGGTAGCTGGTCCGCGATGCTGTATTTGGTTGCTACCAGTCGCTGTTTCATAAGCGACGAGCATCCTTATTCCTAGCATTGACCTACGCTCATTCGCTTAGGCCGTTCCCCTATCCGCCACCTGGGGACGCGCCTGGTAGGGTGCCACCCCTCAGGAAACACAGAGTTAATTAATTGACAAACATGTATCTCGCAAAACATACAGATATTAAAGTCACAATTCCGGAAGAAAGAAAAGCATTCAAAGCTTGTTTTTTGACACATAAGTACCCCGCACGCAGACGTTCGATAGACAATTAAATAAAAATCTTAATTACTTCCAGTTATTAAATAAATCAATCAATTTGATCGTAGCAAATTAGCGATATTTAGGGGCGTACTAAAACTGAGACACGCCCTAGGCGACAACTTGCTTGCTCAATTCACACACGTACCTACTTTTTCCGAAAACGGACAGCGCGTTTTAAAAATCATTTCACGAACTTTTACTACTTCACTTGATTTAACTCTGGAAAACTTTATTACAATACTCACGAATTACGCTTTCACATGCACAGGCTGACTGCCCGAAAATTTATCGCAAAGAAATGTCCACGTTCTCAAACCGCGTTAAAGAAGAGTACAAAAAAGCACCGTCTTCTCGATTTCTCCAGTAGTTAAGGAAACGCCACTTCCACGATAAAACAAACTCCTTCTTCATAAATTTTCAAATAAATCGCCAATCACAATTCGATTAGGTAAACGTCAGCCAGGGCAGCGGTTCTTAGTCTGTTAGTCGCTCTCTATAATTAAGGCATATAATTGAATTGAATTATGTATACATTCAAAAGAGCGTTTTAAATATTTGTAAATACTGAAACCAGTCAAGAGATGGACAGGATTCCGTTGAGTCGCTCAATGCTCCTTCCTGTCGCAGTCTTTTAAATGTTTGTGCAACCATTTCAAATTTGCACAAGCTTTTGAGCATCATTGACAAGCACCTGTTGGTGACAATCTTAAATCATTTGACATTAAATTAGCTACGGTGTACTGCAAGCTGGATAATTCTCAAAAAACGCACATCTACGCCTTCACGTTCAAGGTAGGTGCAGGTACTTGCTCGTAGTAAAAAGAAGTCTAGGTGGGTTTACGGTACCCTATCTCAAAAAGACCATTAAAAGTCTTAAAGGTTTGTACTTTCTAATTTTAGAACCGGTCGGAAGGATAGCTCCTACCTTTACTTTAGAGACAAAGAAGGAGTACAAATTTCACATAAACTCCACGATAAACCTGTTATGTCCAAGTCAAGCCTTTCCCGTGCCCCTTATAAGGTACTGATTTTGTAAAAATTAAAACGTTTGTTTTAGAACCGATCGGTACCGTAATGCCAAAATTTCCGCTAGAGACTCGAAAGGACACAACATTTTTGTCAAATTCCACGTTAAATCTGTTGTGCCCCGCCCAAGGTTATCCGGTTCCTCTTACAAGGTACTACTATTGCTTATTAACATTAATGAACGTCTTCCATTTGTTCTCCCAGTTTCTTCGGACCCGTTGTGAACAAGGTGCTCTATTCCTATCATCCGGGTTAAACTATGTCTTTGTTTAGAACCTGTCGCTAGCGTCTCCCCTAAGTTTCCCATGGTGGAAAACTCAAAGGCCTTCCTTGGACGAGGCGGTTTAAATCTGACATTGCTCTGTCCGGCTCAAGCATATCCCGTTCCTCTTTTCAGGTAATTTTGATCGAATCTGTCATGTTTTAGAACCCATTGGTAGCGTTCTGCCCAAATTTCCCGCCATTGACAATTTGAGAGGGTTCACGTCTAAGGACAATGCAACTTTAACACTCCTGTGTCCCGCGCAAGCGTATCCTGTGCCTCTCTACAGGTAAACGCCACTTTTATCCCATCCTTCAGGCGAAACATGCATGCATTATACCTGCCTACCTGTTTTGACAGAACCTGTAAGTAGTACGGCTCCCAAACTAATGTCCGGAGATAAGAGCAGAACTGGCGAATTGGAAGCCAGCTCCATCGCGTTACTGCTTTGCCCAGTACAAGGACTTCCCATCCCATTATTCAGGTGAATAATCACGCAATGTTTTGTTATTAGAGCCAGTCGGTAGTGTTGCTCCGAGCCTATCCGCGGGCACCTCAAAGATACAAACATTACAAGGATTACAAGGCAGATCACAACCCTTACTATGTCCCGCGCAGGCTTATCCCGTTCCCTTAGTTAGGTAATTATAAAAACATGAGTTTTAGCAGGGGTACCCCGTCTTGTCTAAACGATTGTACTATCCCTCGTGTCTTTTTAGAACCAATCGGAAGTGTCAAACCCGCCTTCAATTCTGGCGATAAAAGTAATGCGTTAGAGTCTGCCCTTCTCCGAAGTGTTGCCCTGTTATGCCCCGCTCAAGCGTACCCGGTCCCATTGCAAAGGTAATTCTTCGCTAATATTTCCCATTTTTATTTACCTTTAGAACCGGTGGGGAGTGTAAAGCCGAAATTTCCAACGGCCGATAAAAGTCACACGTTTGAGTCGATCGTAAGCGAAAGCCTGACGCTGCTTTGTCCTGCGCAAGCCTATCCGGTTCCCTCGCAAAGGTACCTTGTCTCCGTTAACCGTTTTTTTTGTCAACAGAGCCCGTCGGTGTTAAGACGCCCGTCTTTTCCTCCGACAATCTTATCAATGCTTTCGCACGGAATTTCGGTCAAAGTTTCGCTCTTTTGTGTCAGGCGCAAGGGTTTCCTGTTCCGAGGTTCAGGTAGGTCCCTAATTTAATTTTTCTTTAGAACCAGTCGGCAGCAAAGCTCCGACTTTGGCCAACGATCTGAAAATGATGGGGTACGATCGTGGCAAAGGTCACAGCTTTGCCCTGTTGTGTCCGGCGCAAGGGCTACCGTTCCCTTCATTCAGGTAAGCGTTGGTTATTGCGCGACGTTTAAGTCAGTTTTTCTTAGAGCCGATCGGTAGTAAAGCTCCCGCTTTCTCGACTTCCGCCAAAAGTTCAACGTACGAAATGAAGTCGGGCGGCAGTTTTTCATTGCTTTGCCCTGCCCAGAGCTTACCGGTTCCAGCGTTCAGGTAATCTTTTTTTTGTACTTTATTTTTTAGAGCCGATTGGATCTAAAGCGCCCAGTTTTGCAACCGATTCGAAAACGTCCTCGTTCATTAGAAATTTCGCCTCGAATTTTGCCCTTCTTTGTCCTGCTCAAGCGTTACCTATCCCAATATTCAAGTAAGTATGATTTTATAGACTGTACAGCGTTTTGAAATCGTTGTAGAACCAATTGGATCAAAGCCGCCCAGTTTTTCATCGGACTCTAAAAGTTTTACATATATTAGACGTTCTGGATTTACATTCGCGCTTCTTTGCCCCGCACAATCTTTACCTATACCAATATTTAGGTGAGTGTCAAAGGTCCGTAGTCCGGATACCTATTTTATTGTTTTTGTCATATTTTGTTGCTATTTAATCACTACCTAAAACTTCATTTTTTCCGCATAGTAAATTCCTGGCACCTTCTCTTGTTTAAAAATATACACACATCCGAATGCTAAACAAACTTTTAATCCAACCAAGAGAATTCCCAATCAATGAACAAATAATCAGTTTTGTTTCTTGCAAATAATTTTGACGGGTCGGTTCCTTTAGGAATATCAAAATTACTTCAAACAAAATTCCTTACTCACTTACAGTAATGGGTGATATTCTCTTCTGGTAACAATTGATCTATCTTTTGTTGGAAAATGCCGCTTCCTTTCGAAATAGCTCGATTCGATGGTTGCCTTGCTGCACCGCCCCGGTAACGTTATCTTCGTGATGAATGCAAAATAAAAAATGTCCATACGTATTGCGAATCAAGTTGAGATCGTGATTATGCACAGGAATAATAGGTCAATGGTCCGCTGTGTACTTAACCCACAATTTTTCACAAATCCGAACTTGCTTAAACGTTTCTCCACGACGTACTCGAAATTTAGGAAGTCTGGGCACCTAATATTTCTATACATTTCTTGAAATCCAACTAAAAATTATCGACCGCTCAACAGTTGTTTCACAACAACAAACGAAAACTTTTATATTGGCCCGAAATAAATCAACAATAATAAATTAGCGTACCCCAATTGATAGTAGGTACTGGCTCGCACTCGTAACTTCTCCAAGAATTAAGTTTCGCGTACCTAGTACAGGACCGTTCGCGAAGAAAACCAGCTTAGCGCGCTTTCCCATTTCTTTCCTTTGTTATTTGAATCACGCCCACGAGAAAAACCGAAAAGGAACTTATTTCTGAACGCAAATGACCTCGACTGGCGTGCCCTAACAACCAATAGAAAAGCCGTATTTTCGTCATATGTAAAAAAATACAAATTTAAACCTGAAATTTTGAAACGGTTCCTAGTGCAAATGAACCTTATACCTTCATTACTAGAAGCACCTTGGGTCACTCAACCTTTGGGACTTTAGCATATTGTGCCTTCTTGATAATAATCCGCCATTGCTTTTATTTCCTAGCCCTCTTCAGGATTGAAAGTTTGTTAGGTATTTATATTTGCAAACCAATATTCTACTGTGGAAAATGTTTGCATATTTCTCATTTTGTTATTAATATTACAATTGCAATTTTGTACCTTTGTTGATAAATATTTTTATTTCCTAGAACCCATTGGAGTTAAAGCGCCCGCTTTCCCAAACGACGCCACCAGCACATCTTATACCCGAACAGTCGGGCAAAGTTTCGGTTTACTCTGCCAAGGGCAAGCGTTTCCTATCGCAATATTTAGGTGGGTTGAAACGCAAACATTTTCCAAGGTGCCTTTTTTTTTGTTTGCAGAACCTGTCGCCGGTGTAGCCCCAAAGGTAAAAGACGTAGAGGTTGAGACTTTACGCAAGTTTGTGCGTCAGCTCACCGTGCTAATCTGTGCCGCCCAAGGTTTTCCCGCGCCTATATTTAGGTAATCTATCCCACCACTCAGGCCTAAGTTCTCGAGAGTATATTTGTAATTGAATTTCAGAGCCTAACAATAATATCGCGCCTAAGGCGTTGGATACAAAAATTGGCTTTACCGCGATACGTTCGCTTAGAGACCAGAGTGTTTTTTTAATGTGCCAAGTTGTCGGGTATCCCATACCTTTATTCAGGTAAGGGCTTCTTCTTTACGTTGACAATATCGATGCATTTTCAGAACCCACGAATAATGTCGCGCCCAAAACCTTAGATAAGAAGTATGGGTTTTTACTCACCTCCCAAAGTCTAAACACGACCATTTACTTAATGTGCCAAGTCGTCGGGTTTCCTATTCCAATATTTAGGTGAGTGTAGTACTGGCGAGTAATGTAGGTGTTCCTCCATTTCTAGAACCGACCAATAATATTGCCCCGAAGGTGACCGATAAAAAAATTCTCATCGGTTTAATTTTGGCCGCATCGACCGATGACGTGTTCATAGTCTGCCAAGTTGTCGGTTACCCCGTTCCCTTATTTCGGTGAGTGTGCCTTTTCCATTATTTCGGTCAGTCTGGATTAGTATGCGTGAAATGATTGCCTTTTTGTTTTTTCATTTTGTAGAACCTACGGGCAAAATCGCTCCTAAAGTCCCTGGGCAAAAGTACGATGGAGGCAAGATTGTTCTTGTCTCGACCTCCCATGTTATCATAATGACTTGCGACGTTGTAGGATACCCTGTACCAATTTATAGGTATTGCACAAGTGGCTAGTTCGATTAAAATCTTAGTAAGTAGCACTGGGTTTTATTTTTCAGAGCCTACTAATAATGTTGCGCCAAAAAAGGTAGGGGCGGAGTTTGGAGGTTGGAGAGTGCTTAATGTTCCCTTGCTCGAAACCGCGTGGTGCACTTGCCAGGTGACCGGATACCCTGTGCCTAGATTTACGTAAGTTTTCCGTTTTGAAAGTGCTCGTTACAGCGAATGTATAGGCGAGTGTAAGTATCTTATTTTTCAGAACCGACAAGCAACGTTCCCCCCAAAAAGGTGGGAGCGGAGTTTGGCTTTAGACTACTCAATTTAATGCAAAACCAAAGCGCTTGGTTGATCTGCCAAGTAACCGGCTATCCAGTCCCAAGATTCATGTAAGTCAATTTAAATTCGAAAGTGCTCGTTCGTTCCACTGTCGGATGTAGTAAGTATTGTTTTACTTACAGAACCAACCAACAATGTTCCCCCAAAAAGAGTCGGTGCTGAATTTTTAGGCAGAATGCTTAACGTACTCGAAAACGCGAGCGCGTGGCTGATCTGTCAGGTGACCGCATATCCGGTACCGAGATTTACGTAAGTGCTATTTTTTGAAAGTGCTCGGGAAGACTGTAGTTAGTTCAGGTGATAGTTTTGGACCGATTTCCCTTACAGAACCTACGAATAACGTCAGTCCAAAAAAAGACGGCGAGCAATTCGAGGGCTGGAAAGTTCTAAGTATTTCTCAGTCGAAAGTAGCCTGGCTCACTTGTCTAGTTACTGGCTATCCTGTACCACGCTACATGTAAGTTACTTTTTTCTAATCAATTATATTTTGAAAGTGCTCTACGTGACAAAGGGTTTGACATCAGCGACGCACAGGTAAAAGTTCGCTATTTTTTTATTACAGAACCTACCAATAACGTGGCGCCTAAGAAGGACGGTAAGAAGTTTGAGGGGTGGGAGGTCCTTACGGTGGCCCAGTTTGATGTAGCTTGGTTTACATGCCTCGTTACAGGTTACCCTGTACCACGATATATGTAAGTAACAGTAAAGATTAGTAGCTATCAGAAGTTGCAAACAATTGAACTGTATAAGGCCTAAGGGTTCATTAAACCCAATTTTGTACTTGTTTCCTTTTGACCTAAAACATTTGCTTTGGTATATTGAGCCCGATAAATTTTTTTAATGATTTGATTATACCATTGCACTCCCCCCTTTAAAACATTTACACAACTGTTAAAGCGACTCTTAAATTTGTAGTTTTTTTTACTTGATAAATTGTTTTCATCCTTAAATATCAAAAACAGCAATGGGTACCCACACACAAAATTCGATAAGTTCCCATTCGATTATTTTTTGCAAAATTATTCAATTTGTGAAAACCGACTGAGCTTAAAAACTGTTGTGACCTACGACCCACACTTGTGAGACGTCTCACCAAGTGATGTTAATTTGATAGATTTTCAGCACTTTTGCAACTACTGTTAGAAAGTTATTTTTCCGCTTTAGCTTGTTTAGTTGCTTGGAATTGAGGTTGTTAAGCAGGAAATTGTTTATTATTACAGAACCCACTAATAATGTAGCCCCAAAGAAAGACTTAGAAAAGTTTGAAGGTTGGAAAGTTCTCATTCTTTCACAGCTTGACACTGCATGGCTCACGTGCCTCGTTACTGGCTACCCTGTACCGAGACACATGTAAGTTTAAGCTTTTATTCTTTGTGTACCCGTGTGAATGGTCGCATGTCATCTTTCCAATCCGTAACCTGACCGGATCTCGGTCTCAGTTTCGATACCATTTTAATACTGGGGTTCTTTACAGAACCGACAAATAATTTACCGCCAAAGCTCGTGGGTGAAAGAACGGCATGGAAGATTGTCAGTGTTTCTGAAAATGCCTCTATAGCCTTAGTATGTCCCATAGTCGGCTATCCTTTTCCAATCTTTAGGTAAGTCAGCGTACTCTATCCCGACATCTCTCTCGTCCAAAGAGATGCTAAATTTGTTTTCGTCTTAGAGCCAACAGGTCAAACTGCCCCAAAGGTCGCCGGAGATGGGCTGAATAAACTCTCCGCCCACGTTTCGACCGCCATCGCATTATTGTGCGACGCCCAATCATTTCCGACACCTAGAAAAAGGTGATCACTTTACTATTCGGGCATTCTGGGCATGGTTTGTAAGTAAAAATGTAATCGGAGATTATTTACAGAACCCACCGGCTCGGTAAAACCTCAGTTAAGTAGTCATATCATTGATATAAGAACTGTTCAGAGAGGACAAAACTCGGTTGCATTTTGTCCCGCGCAAGCCTTTCCCGTACCCCTCTTCAGGTAAACAATCAGGACTTGGGCCATATTACATAGAGATGATTGATTAATTGTCGCTTCACCTTCTTCTCTCCTTGTTACAGGTGGTACAAGTTCCTAGAAGGTACAACTCGCAAACAAGCCGTCCAATTAAACGATAGAGTTAAGCAAGTAGCCGGTACCTTAATTATTCGTGAAGCAAAAGTCGAAGATTCCGGAAAATACCTATGCGTCGTTAACAACTCTGTCGGTGGCGAAAGCGTCGAAACCGTACTCACCGTTACCGCCCCTTTGAAGTCCTCCATAGAACCGCAAGTGCAGACCATTGATTTCGGCAGACCCGCGGTTTTCACGTGTCATTTTGAAGGTAATTCGGATAGGTTTGAGAAATCCTATTTCAAATTTTGCCTTCTCATAATTGCTAAATCTTCAGGTAACCCGATTAAGACGATCAGCTGGTTGAAAGATGGCAAACGTCTCGATCATCACGAGGCTATCCTAAGAATCGAGGCCGTGCGAAAGGAGGATAAGGGAATGTACCAGTGTTTCATTAGAAACGATCAGGAAAGTGCCGAAGCGACCGCCGAGCTGAAGTTGGGCGGCCGATTCGAGCCTCCTCAAATTCGTCACGCCTTCGCCGAAGAAACCCTGCAACCCGGCTCTCACGTCTTTCTGAAGTGCATCGCCGCCGGAAATCCGACGCCCGAAATCGCGTGGGAATTGGACGGACGCCGACTTTCGAACAACGATAGATATCAAATTGGGCAATACGTGACTGTCAACGGAGATGTTGTTTCGAATTTAAACGTAAGCGCGGCAATCACCAATGATGGGGGTTTATACAGGTGCATCGCCAGCAGCAAGGTGGGATCGGTCGATCATGCGGCTAGGATTAACATTTACGGACTTCCATTTGTAAGATCCATGGAAAAACAGGCGATTGTCGCTGGAGGAACTTTAATTGTACATTGCCCTGTCGCCGGTTACCCCATCGACACCATCGTATGGGAGAGAGGTTGGGTTTGGTTCTAGTTTTGGCATTGACTTCAAATATTGATTTTTAGACGGACGCGTTTTACCTATCAACCGAAAACAGAAGGTCTTTCCCAATGGAACTCTTATCATTGAAAATGTGGAACGAGCTTCTGACCAGGCATCATACACTTGCGTCGCGAAAAATAGTCAAGGTTACAGCGCACGAGGATCGTTGGAAGTTCAAGTTATGGGTATGTTGAAAGCTATCTATCTATTAGAAATTCCTGTCTCCAACTCATAATTATGTGAAAATGTGTTTTATGTCACCAATAGTTTGTGCATTCTGTTACACAACCAAAAATCAAAATATATTCGGTAATCTTTGGTAGGGTAGGGTTGCCCAAGAGTACACATCTAAGTTTTACTTTGAAATAAAAAATGTGACAACTTGTTAACTATACGCTATTCATTTTAAGAAGGTAGCGGTAGAAAGCATAGGGACAGTTTGACCTTCACTGTGATTGGTTAAACCACGAGTCAGTATTACCCTGAAAAATAAAACGAGTGACGAATTCTGTCTTTTAGAAGTTTCAGTTACCAACTAAACTGTCGAATTGTCATTAGCTGTCAATTTCAAAGAACCAAGCGTGATATCGTTTGATTTATATTTATATTTTTCAAATTTTGTGCCGTTTTATATTTTTACTCACAATCGGTTAGTATTATCTGAATTCCTAACCTTCATAGCGGTTGCGAAGCGACTCATTACTCACCTTAGCCGGGAAAGTAACTTTCCCGGCTAGCTGTCACTTTCCCGGCTAGCATCTGTCACTTTCCTTACCTGCAAATGCTATTCATATTATCCTTATATGAAACTTATACTAATAGTGACACCGCCAATGTAACCATTAATGTTTACAACAATAGCAAATTACGAAGAAGAACGAAACTATTTGCTATTGTTGTAAACATTAATGGTTACATTGGCGGTGTCACTATTATTGACAGTTAAAGTAACACCTTGTTGAATTATATACTTTACCTTAAATGATCGATTGTGAGTAAAATAGTATACAAACCTCGCTGGTCAGTGGTTCATAACCAACGCCTCGCGCTTATACCTCACCTCCGCGCTTCGCGCGTCGGTGAGGTACCTTAAGCCCTCGGCGTAGGTAATGAACCACCTCCCAGCTCGGTATGTAATCTACTATTCCTGTGTGTGTCGATCTTCAATCACAGCGCCATCTACTACCTTCTTATAATGAATGCAGTATACTGTCCTAAGACAAATAATGGATATCACCAATGACTAAAGAAATAAAATCAGATTTTTACTCATACTCTTAATGGTACCTACTAGCCCCTAAGAGTACGTAGCGTATGCAACCAAAATCACGCGTCTCTTCAATATCCCTAGTCTAGTTTCATGCGACGAACTTTGCCGGGAAGTCCGCGCACACATGGAAATCTGATTTTTCTGCCAGTCACTTGGGCGATTAAAACTTTTTCATTAAAATCTCGCCTTTTGGTCACCATAAAAATCTGGGACTAGTCTTAAAATTCATTTTATTTAAGCGCGCTTCCAATAATACCAAACGCGACCCAGTAATTAAAGTTAATTTATACCAAGCTAGCAAATCAATCGTTTCTAGAGAAGAATGCGATACCTTCATGGTTATCCATTAACAGAATTGCTGGATCTTCTTCTGAAGGCTTAACAAAATCACAGAAATGAGCCATATTAAAAATAGTGTTCATATAGGCAACGGGCGATCAAAAATGAGTCGCATAGTATATCATGACTCAGATATCAATTTTGAGAGATGCACCATAAAAAAGTTCCCCTTTCATTTACTTTCTTGACAAAATAAGTCCTGGGAGTATCCAAATACCAAAAACACTCGTGCAGCAGACTACCGTTATCAATTGACCCAAGACCCAAAGACGTTTGTGTAAATCGTCCACGTCGTTCCACACACTGCGCATGTCCAAAGCATTTTTGGATAAGTTCGCTTTTCAAACAAATTTGAGAACACAATCCAACTTACAAATAACCTATAATTAGTCCAGGGTAATTAGCTTATTCAAACTAAATACAAAATATAAAGCTAAAAATTTGTCTGAAGGTACCTAATGGATAAGTATCGTGGAAGCTATAAAAAAAGTAGTTCTGCCAAAAAATTGACTTTAATATCTCAAAAGCCGAAACTTCAAACAGTTTAGTTGCCTAATTTGGAGGGTCCAGGTTCGTTGGGTTGAGTATTATAAAATGAGTAATCTTGTACATCCGCCTCTTCATTCTCTTCAACTAGTATGGAAGGTCTGTTGCAGCATGTTTCACCATTGCATTTTCCGCATATTTTTCTACCATCCCCAGTCAGTAGCAGGAAAGTCTATCCCATGCAAAGACTAAACTTGGTGAAAAACTCTATAACTATGCTTGCTGCTCCAGATGTTGGTGGTAGTACCAAGAGATCAAACTTTCGACAAACTGGTTGAATAGCTATAACCTTTTTTATAATAGGTAAATCTAGTTCCATTAAAGTCATCTGAAGAAACGCGCCCGTTATATAACAGTTTGAGGAAGTTATCTCTCTATTGAGCAATATACTCGTATTCTTCAGTTGAATTTGTATCATTGAATGCAGAAACCTTTTGCCTTAGTATCTCGTTCGATTGCAAAGTTTAAAAGCTTGGTTTTTGCCTTAATTGAATAGTGAAGGAATTGTATCGAAATCGGTAACTGTATGGAGGATAGCGATGTGATTTTTAGCGCATTTTTTGCAAATTTATTTGTAAAAAGTAGCTTTTAATCTCACTTTGGCTGGCTGGCTGGTTGGCTGGCAGCAAATGTGGGCGCGTAGAAGAACTCTTGTAGAAAGGCAACGGGTGTACGTGTATCTACAGGGCCGTGAAATTTGTCAACCTTAGGGACATGGCTACATGATGTGGGGTTGGCGACATCTGTGCGCCATCCTCGAGCGTAGTATACTAACGTGAAGGTTTTTCAGTTTTTTCCTATCTTCTACTACAGTTTTGGTCCGATTCTTTTCAAATTGGTGTCGTCGGAAAGATGTTGTAAACTCGCACAACTCCTGCGTGGCAGAATTTTGTTTTTTGTCCTAGGGGCGAAATTAAAGACCTTTTGCGAGGCGCGCGCGCGCGTCTTCGAGAGGTAGTCTACTTCGGGCGCCTTTTACCTTCCGTTGCGAACTCACGCGGTTTAACGTTTCGTAAATTTCGAATCGCTGTCTCTCTTTCTTCTCGTGTCGCCAATAGAAATGAATTGCGAGTGAACGGGACGTCGGAAGTGGGTACCGTCAAAGGGAATGTGGTAGCCCCCGACACGATCTTACTGATGGTGAAGTCAAAACTTTAAAAGCGAATTGCGGGTGCACGCGGAAAGTGGGAAGCGGTTAGTGAATGTAGTAGCCTTCGCAAGATCTGTTATTGATGGTTGAGTCGAAAGTGGCTAATAGAATACCGATCTGCCACACAAAAATGCGCTGAAGTCCCTTCGATCTCAAACAAGGACTTTGATAATTTTTTACATTCCCAAGTGCTTCTTGGGGTAGCTTGCTATTAAACAATTTTTGTAGATTAAACTTTGTTGTTGGAATTAACATTAAACGTTTATCATTATCCCGTGCTACAGCTATCGTTATGACCAGGAGATCAGTGTCCTCGCCTACTATAAGTCCTTTCTTATTTTCGTTAGGAAATGCGAAAGCTGTATTACTACGTGAGTCGGCGTCCCTCGGAGAAATTTGAACTTTAAATTTAGCAGCCAAGAATGAAACAAAGTTACTTTTATTCGAGGTATTTTTCAAAAATTACGTAGAAAAAGAAAAATTTGAATCACTTACAACAATATCCACAGAGTTGTATTATTCCAGCATGGGATTGTTAAATCGGTAAGACCTGGATCACCTGTAAGTCCTCCTTCTACTTTCATTGATATCATTAACACCTGCTCGATGGTCAAGTCCGTCCAAATGCTACTCCAGAATTTTGATGTTCGACTAATAGTAGAATATCTACTGGCGACAAATTTGTCGTACTCTTCCTTAGTTGGTTGGTCAAACGTTACAATACAAATTTTTAGCCTTGCTTCTTGCATTCTTCCAATGCATGCTGAAGACAAGTATTGACTGTTGATGGAGTTGTTGGTGACATATTTGCAAAAGGTAGGGGTCATGTTGCTGATGTTTCATATTCCCGACTTTGATTCATTGAAATATCCTTAAAACCACTCCAAGCCGGAATGCCCCCCTTCAAAATACCTGGGACCTGACATCCTCAGAATATACATAAGTTGTGCTACTTTAGCAGTACTATTATTTGAAAAGGACATGATACGCGACCTCTAGACACCGACTGAACAGCCGCAACGCGCGACCGGCGGCGTCTTCTCTTTTCTGATGCTGCCCCGCGACTACACCACCCACCACACGTTGCAACACCAGAAATTAGGAATTGCTATACTAAAAGCTACCTGTTTAACAATTATCAGCTTTATATTTTGTTTTAAGAATACCCTACGTATAATTATTGGCTAATTACCCTGGACTAAATGTCCAACTCCGTTGAATTGGGTATGCATTTTTGTAAAAAAAAAAAGTTCCATACCAAGAATCGAACCCAAGCCGCTCGGGTACCGCCGGGTATCCTTGCCACTAGACTAGACCATTGTAGCATACATTTAACTGACCTGAATTCTCATTCCAAAATAGGTGAAGCGTCAATTACCTATTACGTTTCTTTTCGCATGCGCAGTGTATGGAACGGCGTGGACGATTTACAGTAGGTACCAACTGTTTGGGTGCCTATAGATAATAGCTTACTAACGTAAGGCTCCTAATTTTATACAACCAAACTTTTGCACTTAGTTCACAAGTTTGTAACCAACGTTTAAAGCCAAAAGAGTTGACTGCACGATTTTCAGATTGCTTATTTTTGTGGCTGCGTATAATTATAAAGGAAATTCACGATTTAGGCTAACATAAGATCGATCTAAATAAATTATAATGTTTGCACATAAGGTTTCACAATGTATACCTACAATTTTATAAATCTTGTAATAGAAATTAAGTTTTTGAGGTGCTGAAACAACTCCCATGTATGAAAAACAGTAAATTATTATTATACTCTTAACTAATCCGTACTCTTAGGCGATGCTACCCGATAAATATGCAGAAACAACCAACAAAATTGTGGTTGATGATTCTGTAGAACATTTGGAAATAATCCTGATCGTATTACTGATAAGTTGCATTTATTACCAATGGTAAGAACACAACAAGCTCATATGAGTCTACTCTAATAGGTGATTGTGAAGATGGAATGCACAATATTTGAGTTGGAGAGAAGGAATTTGACCTAAGTATTGATATCGTGATTTCACTACAAATTATGTCAGTGATAAAATCTTTGTGTAATTTCTCTAGAACAAGACGGTAACGAAGACGTTCTTGTACATCGCAATAATAAACTTTTTGATAATTGTGTGTCAAAGGTAAGATAATGATCTTTTTGGATTTATTTGATGCGACCTTTTGAATATGTCATCAGTATTTATTTTGCCTTTACAGTATTGCCAGTGATTAGTCCCTTTCAATTTGACGATCCCTTAAACGCCGGCGACATTGCTCAACTGTTCTGTCATGTCACTAAGGGCGATAGACCTCTAAAAATCAAATGGTACCACAATGGAAAACACATTTCGCATCACGGTCTTGGCATTTCGACGTCTGCTTTTGGCACTCACACTAGCATTCTTAGTATCAGCTCTGTCGAGCCGATCCACAGTGGGGATTACACTTGCGTGGCCTCGAACGTTGCCGGAAAAGCGCAATATACGACGACGTTAGACGTCTTTGGTACTTACTTAGTGTGCCTGTCAATAATTGGAAGGATTTACTTTTGATACTTTTTCTATTTTCATTTTTGTAAAACCCTCACCTAAAAAATCTGACCATTTCGCCTAGGTAGGTAAATTAAGTACAAAGAAAATCATCTTTGTTCACATCTACCTAACGCGCTTGTTTTATTTAAAGATCATTTTGTTTTCCTTATGTTTTTACAGTTCTCCCCCAAATTGCTCCTTTTGAGTTTAGCCACGGCGACGAATCTGTTAATTCAGGTGACACGGTAACTGCACAGTGCACGATATCAAAAGGAGATCTACCTCTGACCTTTACCTGGACTTTAAATGGAAAACCTGTCAGCCAAAACAGTGGCATATCTGTTATGAACTTCAAGAGATTTAGCACTTTAGAGATTGATTCAGTGTTGTCGGTTCACAGAGGAGAATACGTTTGCATGGTTAAAAATGCAGCAGGCACCAGTAGCTTTTCCACTTATTTAACAGTGAAGGGTACAATGCATTTATTGTTATGCTTAATCTGCATGCCCCATATCGTAATAACAAAATCATAGTTGCACCACAGATTCTTCCTTTTAATTTTGGCGACGATGAGATGAACGCCGGCGACACCACGTCCGTTCAGTGTACTGTTGTAAAGGGAGATAATCCACTTAACATAACTTGGCGCATGAATGATGCGGAAATTAAAACGAACACGCAGGGAGTTTCCATTTTGAATTCAAAGAGAGTGAGCTCTCTAACGATAGAGTCCGTCCAGGCCGAGCACGCCGGAGAATATACATGTGTGGCTTCAAATGTTGCAGGATATGCAACGTATTCTGCTTCTTTGAACGTTAACGGTACCTATTTAATTATGTTTGTAGCTTTTTTAATGTATAACTCCCCCATATACTTTCTCCGTTCCGTCATAGTTTTGTTATCTGGTCATTTTATAGTTCCTCCACAGATTTTGCATTTTGATTTCGGAGATGATGTCGTCGATTACGGTAACATGGCCACAGTTCAATGTGCGGCTACAAAAGGAGATTTTCCAATTGAGTTTTTGTGGAGGCATAACGGCGAAAGTTTAGGTTCTCGTAGTGGCGTCACTGTTACGCAAACCAATAAAAGGATCAGCACTTTAAGTATCGAGTCTGTAGAAGCCGATCATCGTGGAAACTATACGTGTGTTGCCAGAAATTTTGCCGGTACCGCTGTGTACTCGGCGGAATTAAATATTAATGGTACTTTTACATTATTTGTTGCTTCTATTGGTAGCGTGTGCACATTTGTTTTAACGACCTAATCCTTTAGTCACTCCTCAAATAATGCCTTTCACCTTCGGGGAAGACTCGATGAACGAAGGCGATACTGCCTCTACCCAATGTGCCATAACCAAAGGGGATTTGCCTATGGAAATTTCGTGGTATCTAAACGGGAAACCCATAAACGTACTCGATGGCATACTTACAAGTAGTTTAGGAAAACGGACGAGTACTTTGGCGATCGACTCGGTTCAAGCGAAACATATCGGCGGATACACTTGCAGCGCTACGAATGCAGCCGGTTCTACAAATTTTACGACGTACTTGAATGTTAACGGTACATCTATTCGTTTTTGTAACGCTTTAAGTTTCTCTCCCACGCCTTTGACCTTTTTTGATTTCCCAGTTATTCCTCAAATAATGCCATTCACGTTTGGCGAAGAATCCTTGAACGAAGGCGAAGCGGCATCGGCCCAATGCACGATTACCAAAGGAGATCTCCCGGTTGAGTTGATATGGTATTTGAACGGAAGGGTTATTGACGAAGACAATGGGATATTAACCAGCAACCTGGGAAAACGCACCAAAACTTTAGCAATTGATTCCGTACAGGCGCGCCACATTGGGGAGTACACTTGCAGAGCAATGAATTCGGCGGGATCTACCAACTTTACCACTTACTTGAATGTGAATGGTAGTTTTTTTACCACAATGCTTCTTATGCTTTCTTTTTGAGTTACCATCCTAACCTTTTACACTTTAATTGTAGTCGCTCCGCAAATCATGCCTTTTAATTTCGGCGACGAAACGATGAACGACGGTGATACGGTGTCCGCTCAGTGCACGGTGACCAAAGGTGATCTACCGATAACAATTCTGTGGTATCTGAACGGGAAACCGGTCAACGAATACGGCAGTATTTTCACGAGTTATATGGGAAAGAGGATTAATAATTTAGCGATAGATTCAGTCCAAGCAAACCACGTTGGGAGTTACACTTGCAGTGCGACAAATTTGGCAGGATCCACTAATTTTAGTACATACCTCAATATAAACGGTACTTTTTTTTTATAGGCATGTTTGTCCTTAATACCAGCCTTATTCTTTTACACCAAAGTTCCTATTGACCGCTTGGAGATGTTCTCTCTCCAGATAAATTCGCTCCTCTTTTTCAGGGCTTCTCGTTCTTTGACTATTTTTCTTCGTCGTTTTCACAGTCTATGTTTACACAGGCACTTGGGTACCGTCGCATATGTTCGTAGTAGGTATGTAAATATTTTGGAAAACTCTTAATGTCCTGACGTGGCACCACGCCCATCTGCCCCTGGATCCCCAGTTAGGAGGGAGGTTGCATAAAATGGTTGCTAATGACTGTCGACTCTAGGTACTAAGCTCCCTAATCGATCTAGAAGCGACACTCAGAGGTTTAATATGGGCCCATTGACTACTCCTTTGGGTGCTGCTAAGCAGCTACGTCATTTTACGACGTAATAACTGGACTATATACCTACCTATCTTTTCGCCATGCGCAAAACGAGTAAAGTATGGTTAACCGCTCATTAGTGGATAAAATCGGGGGGTTAGTAACCTCCAGAGTTATTAACCCCTCTACTATTTTTCAACATAGACCTATATCGTATTTGCAAAGGGGAGGAGACGGCATGTTTTACTTACTTCAAGCATCCACATTATACTTCGTTGCATCCACATTTAATGAGCTCCATGCGCGCCTCATGTGCTGGGGGGTTTTCGGTCCATTGGAGGTCCTCCTTTCATTTGGCGTCGATCGTATCCAACCCCACTCGGATAGATTGGGTATTGCTGGGCCTGTAAATCAAAACAGATATTACTATGTGCAATGGCAAACGATCACTAAGCCTCCCATAAAACTTGTCCAGCTAACTCAATTAAATAAAGTCATTCACAAAAACAATTAACATGAAACTCTTAAGATCCCGGGTTGTAATTTGGGCTCAAATTATTTTACACAAAACATAAATTTTATCACAAAAATCGCTGTAAGAGAAATCGGCATTCAGGGTCAGAAACACACCACGCTACAAGCGATCGATCGAAACAGTCTGAATTAACTTGTAATGTCCAAAATCCAGTCTTACACTGCAATTCCCTATTCAAATGCGCACCAACAACGTAGGTAAAACACTAAACTGAAATTTTCTCAGGAAACCCAATTTCTTTACTTCGTAACACTTAAGTTCCATCCATCAAACTTTACTAATTTACAAAACGAGCAATTTTATAAAGAACTGTTCGATGTATTGCCGCAAATATTCATAATTTGTAGTAGTGAACGATCAAAATTCCTTCACTATCTGGTTGGGACACTGGTTCCAAGCTTCAAAGGTAACTTTCTTTACATATCTTTAAAATTCCTCTTACACAACAAACCCTAATTCATTACTTGCCCCCTCCCCGAGATATTAAATCAATTGCCCTGCTAGCATCAGATCAACGATAAAGAGGTATGCAACCAGCTAAAGGATTTTGTGGGGGTTTCTGGGGGAGGAGGGGGGTACCCACCAAGACGAGATGTATCCCATTATTACCCATCATTAGCAACCCCTATTTTCTGCCCCCCCCCCCCTAACGGGGGTTTCAGGGGCATATGAACGTGGCGCCAGGTCGGAACATTAAGAAGGAGGCTCCAAAAGCATAGGTACCTACTCAAAAGTGCGAACTTTATCTCAGTTTTGCACCCAAACTAAATAGAACTGCAACATCGAGATAATTGTGTTTGGTGAAAACAAAAGTATCCAGTCGCTTAAATTTTAACAATGCTTGTAGTGCCTCCTCAAATGACCTCGTTTGATTTCGGCGAGGAATCGATTAATACGGGTGACACGGTGGTCGTCACTTGTGGTGCGACGAAAGGAGATCCCCCTACAAAGATCGTTTGGTCTTTTAATACCCAACCTTTGCAAAGAGTAACTGGCGTAAGCATTACCAATACAAGACGAACGAGTCAATTGCTAATAGAATCCGTATTAGCCGAACATGCCGGAATGTATACGTGTCGGGTGCAGAACGAAGCCGGTTACGCCGAACACTCCGCTTACTTACACGTTAATGGTACAGTAGCACCAGTCAGAGCAGTAGATTTACTTTTTATTTTTGCCTTTCCTTAACAGTCCTTTAATGTTCTTGCAGTTATTCCTCAAATAATGCCCTTTACCTTTGGAGAGGGATTAATGAATGCGGGTGACACTGTTTCTGCACAGTGTACAATCACCAAAGGTGACTTGCCAGTTCAGATTGAATGGTACTTGAATGGGAATACGATATCGGAACAAGATGGAATACTTACAAGTTACATTGGCAAAAGACTGAGCATTTTGTCGATCGAGTCTGTACAATATAATCATATTGGAGAGTACACTTGTGGCGTGAGGAATCCAGCCGGTTCAACAAACTATACAACCTATCTTAATGTTAACGGTATAATTTTCTCTTGCATGGTTTTTGTAGTCCAAAGCCGAAATCCAAAGCTAATCTATGTTTTTGCCTTTTAGTTCCCCCTCAAATTGTTCCCTTCGATTTTGAAACGGACTCGGTTAATTCCGGAGAAGTGATCATAATCAATTGTGCGGTAGCAAAGGGAGATCTGCCGATTCAAATTTCTTGGAAATTTAATGATACAATAATTCGCGCCGAAAGTGGTATCAACATTTTGAATAGCAAAAGAACAAGTCAATTAAGTATAGATCCAGTTCAAGCGGAGCATGCTGGGAAATACATCTGCACGGCCGAAAATTCAGCCGGACATGTCGAGCACTCCGCTTATTTATCCGTCAAGGGTATTCTTAGTTTATCACTAGCATTAATGCTCATTTTGAGACGTTCTCTAGTGTGAAAGCCCATTTTTTAGAAAATTTGTGACTAGAGGGCGTTTCATCTTTCTGTTAAGTTTGCTAACATCCCACCTTGTCCTTCTTGCAGTCGCACCTCAAATAGTCCCCTTTGATTTCGGCGCA